GTATTTTAATTTAGTCTTAGTGTATTGCTTATTCCTTTCATTTATTAATTTCATTAGCGATCTTGTTATTTTTTGCTGTTACCGGAGTGGTGAACTATGGTTTGACACAATCTAGGACCACCAGTCCATAACATTATGCACAATTAGACGTAAAAGCTTCCCTCCCCCCACCCCCCCCTCCAAAAGATTTCTCCTTTGTCATCCAACTTTTGCTGAAATTTGACCCAGAAGCAAAATCGCCTCTTGTCCGCCTTAATGAATACACAGGTGTTATGTCAGAAGGTGTTGGCACTGGATCGTTTACACCTGATTTCCTCCTGTGTTTATAAGACTCACAGGTGTACACATATGATTAATTCTTTGAGTAAATGTCCCCCAAAATTAGCGATTATACCATCACGAACTATGATAATGAAAATCAGATTATACAAATATCTTGAGGGAAATGAATAAGAGGTGAGGTTATGATAAATAAGCAGGAGAAATAAGCTGGGGTTCCTAATCTTCATGTAATCAAATATTTCTTAGTATCCAGTTATGTATTAACTTATGAACGAGAGGAAGTCAGATATCATTTGTTGTTGTAATATTATTGTACAAACATCTAAACATGTTACTTAAAAGACTGGTATGGATCACATGAAGATTAGGAACCCATATTGATTTCACCTGATGATTTAACCTAACCTAACCTAACCTAACCTAACCTTACGTAATTTAACCTAGCCTAATGTACTCTTTGTCTCTCCGTCTGTCTATCCTCTCACTAGATTAAGTAAGACAAAGGAAGAAATTAATCTATTTTTGTGGTTGAGGGCGAATGTTAAGGAGTCAGATAAATGCTCTTTATAATATGGAAGAAAATGACTCACAAATTTGCATCTCATCAACCTAACAAGTATATGTCAGTCAGCTATAATACAGGAATTTTATTCTATTTATCAAACCAAAACATCGACTCCTTAATTCTTGCATATCTTGGAGGAAATTTTAGCACCCTGATGATCATTTTAATACACAAACACACCTCTCACGTCACATTTTTTAAGGAGGACTCATTCAAACAGACCAATTCGTTTTTTTTTCTGTATTTTTCGTTTTCCCTTTCGCTTGCTGGACGTAGAAAGACAAATCCCACAATATATAACATAAAATCAGTTAAAATAATTGAAGTGAGGGCATACCAGAGACGCCCATCACACAACACTCTCTTTAAATGAATTTGTTATCATCAGCAGCAGAAGTTTAATGGACCTTTAGAAGAGCTTTTAAGTTCGAGTATAATTACGGTGATAACTTTAGCCAAATTATACCACTGCAGGAATTCGAGATAAAAGGCACAGATTGATGGTGGGGGGGGGGGGGTTGCTCTTTTAGGTGGATCATTTAAGCTGAATTATGGCTTGATATCTTGATTTCATGGGTTGGCTTGTATGGCTTGGTGAGTGCATGGGAAAGAGTGTGAAAAAGAGATGAGAGTTTGGCAGCGTGTGTAAAGACTGTGGGAGGAGGAGGTAGGAAGGTAGGAGTAGGGGGTAGGAGGAGAAGGAGGAGGTAGGAAGGAGGTATAAGGGTTAAATTACGGCAAGACTGTGAGGAAGGAAGGCTTTAAAGGAAGAGGAAGTAGGAGGTGGTGAGGATGCGCTTATGAAGTCGTAATAGTGAGAGAGAGAGACAGGTTGTAAAAATGGCCCAAAGTGTTGAAGTATGGCCCCTGTGAGAGTGTGGAGTAGGTGTGGGGAGATGTTTTGGGAAAGTAGTAAAGATAAGGGTGTATGAGGGTGTATGAGTGTGTGTGTGTGTGTGTGTGTGTAAGGATGACTGTAAGAGGGTGCATGTAACGATGAGTGTTGGAGGGTGTCAGCAAGAGAAAAGAGTCATTACCTTTCTGAAGTTCTACCATTGCTTCAGTCTATCATCGTCTCTACCAATACCGAAAATGAAGAAATAAAAGAACTACTGCCTTGTGGAACTCCTCTCCCCTCTATGTAACTTCCTCCTCCATCAGTGGGAAGTTCTTGATACGCCTCGTTTCCATCATGGACATTCCCAAGTTTTTTTGTTTGTTTTTTGGTACTTGGGGAGCCACGCGCAATTTCCTCCGTTGAAAGTCATCTGGGGTCTACACAACACAACACAACACAACACATAAAGTTTTGCGGGACTTCAACTTTCTCTCGCGTGTAATTTGTTTCCTTAACTTTATATGCTGTGAAAAACGCTATTGGATCTTTCATGACAATTCTATAATTCTTAACATGTTACTCGAGTCCATCGTAAAGCAGCAGGTGGAGTGACACATTGAACACCCGAGTTACAAAGGTATTAATATCAACCATCGCGCAGTTAGCTCAGGGTGATGTTGACATTAGGGGAGATATATGTTATAGGCTTCTGGTGGGGGGGAAGACAATGAAAACAGATATTGGCTGGAGACGAGCATGAGGAGAGGGTAATGAAGACAGGTGGAGGAGCAGAGACTCACTTGCTGGGGTGTGAGGTCTGTGTGATGAAGGCAAGTGGAAGAGACAAGGATATAGGGAACCTCAGTTATCCAGCGTCAGGGTTAACATAGCAGGTCTGACCAATACACATTCGCTGTTAGCATTTACGTAGGAGCTGTTTTATGGTTTGTGATCTAAATGTTTCAGTGGTTGGTAATGTCGTGTTATAAATTGGTGATCTTGTGTATAGTAAATCCGGTTTAAGTTTCATTAAAAGGACTGTGGAATTCTTGCATATACACCTATCTCTCTGTATTTCCTATTTTCTTACTATTTTCTTATTATTATCCATTTCTTTTTTGTTCATATTCTTGTTTTCTTTCCTCTTTTTTATCAATTTGTTTTCTTTCTCTAACTTTGCCATTTGTTATTTCCATCTTAATGTATTTTTTCTTCTATTGCTTCACTAATCTCCTTTATTTTATCATTTCTTTTTCACTCGTTTTCCTCTGTGTTTATGCCTGTCTCCACTCTGCCGGTTCTCTGTACCTCCCCAGGATGCCTCGCGCTTCCATAAAGATTACGGAAATGTTTGACAGTCAGCAGTAAAGTATGTAACAGCCTCCCAGAATATTGTAGTAATATAACAACACATGTACGGCGTGAAGCATGTAAGCAGCTCTGAGTCATATTCTGGCTGTACTCGATTACTTGTGTGTGTTTGTAAATTTGTATCACTTCTCCATATTCTTACAAAGACAAATAACACAAACACTCTTGTTGTTTGTTGACTTTGTCCTTGTCTAGTTTAAATGGACAAATAAATTTAATATATAAAGTAATATTTCTTAAAGTTTATCAATTGTTTTCTCATTGAGACATTAGAACACAAGAAAGACTCAGAGACTTAGCTACTAGTGGTGTGGGAACATGTATGTATCGAAGGGCAGTTGGTATACAAGTTACAATTGTATCCCTCACTCTGCTGACATATCTCTCTCACCTGTCACTCATAAACCAATCAATCTCCACCTCTCGCTTATCACCTGTCATTCTTAATATATCACTCTATACAACTTTCACTCTCCATCAGTCACTCCTCCTCCTCCCCACCTTCCACTCAACACCTAATCAATCTTCATTCATCGCTATTCACTCTTTATCGTCATTTTCCGCCATTCACATCTTCCCCCGCCACTCTTCTTGTCAACCTTCCTTAAGAACTTCTGGGAAGATGTTGCTTGAAACCAGAAAATTACCTCGCAGAAATTTTCACTTGTGAGAGGAAAACTTTATGTTCTGGGGGGATGATGATGATGATGAAGTCTTGTGGTAATTGGAATCCTGAAGCCTCTAGCGTAAACTACAATTAGAATTTGTCAATATTTTTCACCCACAGAGTAAACTAAATCCCCTAATGTAAACTACAATTAAAATGTGTCAATATTTTTTTCAAAGATAAGAATTCTTTTCAACAATAAAACCACACCAATGAACCCTTAGTGTACTATATAATGAAACACAAAATATCTTAGAACACTCAATCATTCCAACTCAAGAACTCTAGTCTAGATTTTCACTACCAGTTTAAGGCAAATGGTTGTCATTTGGTTCTATTTGATATGCTCTTAGGGTACGAAAACCTCGATCCATGTCACATTACACCTCAGTGGCGGGCCCTTCCTTGCAAGATGGAATTGTTATATGTTACTACATCTAAAACCACTCCTTACCAAGTCAAAGCAATAATTTAAGCTCTTACATTATTCGTTGTCTTCCCTGTGACTTGGATCATTGTTAGTAAGAAGCTTTCAAGGGATAGAAGTCATTTCGTATAGAATCAAATCGGCTTTTAACACAGACTCACCAGATATTTCACACATACATTAGGGATATTTGAAGTTTACATGTCAATATATAGATTTAAGTCAAATAAAGGTAACTAAAATCATAAGCAACAAGAATAACAAGAGACAGCAATAATTGGCAGACACAAACATGAAGTATACAACTTATTCATGGGAGCTAAAGATATATCTCAAAGACAAAGGGCACATCTTTATCATAACAAATAGTTGAAAATATAGACAACTATAATCTATTGTTCCCCTTTGACTTACAATCTGTAGCTTCTGTTCCACACTGTTCCTCGTCTATTCCATAATATTCTTTGAGGTATAGATCACTTCTCTATAGCTATCATCCATCCTTTGCTATCCTCTTCCGCTCTATCCCTCTCTTCTTTAACCGTATCTATCCCTCTTACCCTTATCCATCCTCTCCACCCTTCATCTTCCACTATTTCCCTTACTCTCTCTCTCTCTCTCATTTCGTGTACATGTCTGGCTCACCTCAACATGCTACCAATTAAGTTTCTTCTAAAATACCTCTTCATTCATCGCAATTTCCTCTCTCATCTCCCACTATCTTATTTTTTCGTTTACCCATTTTATTTCACGTATTTTTGGGACCCAGGTTTTTTTTTCTTTTTTTACATTATCTGTATTTTCTCGTCTTTTCTCTTTATTATTTATTATGTTAATAAATAATGAATAGAAGACCAAGAACGACACCGAGACCTGCTATTCGAGACCCAGAACGACACCGAGACCTGCTATTCGAGACCCAGAACGACACCGAGACCTGCTATTCGAGACCCAGAACGACACCGAGACCTATTATTCGAGATCGAGGCCGAAACCAATCGCAATTGAATGGATTAAACGATGATAGAGGGTCAGTAATATCTTAAAACACGGAAATATTTACCAGCTTGTATGGCGATGAATTTCAAAATAAACACCGCGACTCCTGTTTTCTAGGTAGGGTTGTCAAAATCCTTCGTCCATTGTGTCATATTGTCTCGCATAAAAGCGTAAAGATACTTTTTTGAGCGTGTATACCAACTATCAAATGATTTAGTAGATAAAGGAGAAAAAAGAATCGTATTACCTTCTACTGTAACCATCTCTTGAACTCCTGACCTCAAGTCTGCTTCGTTCCCTGGTTCAGAGATATCGTCTAAGCTTCTAAGTGATACTGGTAACAAACGTGACTCCTCAGTACGTCTGCCCGCCCGTTCGCTTGATTACACGTGAAGTTAAACCTTACAGTAGCACATAGGGAAACTGTGCATTCAGCAGCTATGTAATCTTGGGATGGTAGTGAAACCAGTTTACATTTGGATGGGTCCTTCCAGCTCTCTCTCTGGGTATTAGGTGGGAGGGAAGGAACCAATGCAACCACAGCCACAATTACACTGTTTCTACACACACACACACACACATGGACACATCTTATGGGTGTACTTTATTTTATCACAACTATTTTAAACAACAGTGTAACCAACATATAACGGACTTCTATCTCCATACAATACTTAAGATGAGTTTCACATTTAACGGATCATTGAGATAACGGACTTTCACTCGATATAACGGATTTTCCTTTGCCATCCTGATCCATCCATGCAATATTCTCAACCTCCCTCAGCCCTCTTGTTACAGTCTTGCTATATAAAGGGCTTCCACATACACGTTCAATTTTATCCATTTTCATCATCATTTATCGTGTTTTTACAATCATTCTATTTCATTCCAGTTTCATTCCTGTTACGCTTCCAAATATATTTTCATCCTTGCTTTGACCCAACAAGAGGGGGCCGGGAGGGGGGACCTATTCCTTCAGCCGTACTATCTTTCTTCCTGCCAGCCAAATCTTGATTCCCTTTTATCATCACTTATGTTCCCGTTGACAGTTTTCCATCACTTATGTCCCCGTTAACAGTGTTCCATCACTTACTGTATGTTCCCGTTGACATTGTTCCATCACTTACTGTATGTTCCCGTTAACAGTGTTCCATCACTTATGTACCCGTTAACAGTGTTCCGTCACTTTCTGTATGTTCCCGTTAACAGTGCTCCATCACTTATGTACCCGTTAACAGTGTTCCATCACTTATGTTCCCGTTAACAGTGTTCCATTTGCCATGCTCTAAATCCATGTTATTAAGGTATAAAGTTTAATATCATGTAAACATATTCATTCACCAGACCAGACAATAATATTTGTTCCGGTAAACCTGGACTAACGTAGCGAAGTGGCTACCATTACCAGCTCTCGCCTCACTGTTAACGCCAGCTTTTAGTGCCTAAAATATACAAAACACTACTAATAAATCTTTGTATTTTAACCAGTAGTGCTTCCGTGAACAGGTGAAAAGTTTGGCATTAACAACACGTAGAAAATTCACTCTTGTTCCCCACCATTTGTTTCTTCCCAACATATACAAACTTTGGATATAACACCGGCAAGAAGATGTGAAGATAGTTCTATAACTTTGGCTTAATGAGTTGAGAACAAGAGATGGGCGATAAAACTTAACAATACGCTGCTGGTGTTAGAATGTTTCAGGCAGTAATACCTAACACGAACATCTTCTTCTGCCAGAGTAGTGTGGGAAAGAGAGGGTAGGAAGGTTTGATGTTGGGTAGAAGAGAAACAAAAAAGACTAAAATATTAAAGAACAGAGTGAAAGAATCAGGTAATTGCTGTTAGTTGGGAGGAGAAAACATTAATTTCCCTCTTAGACCTTTTATAAAACGGGTGAATTGTGTCATGTCATATGTTCCTACTGCTTGGTGATAATTATGGTAAGCAATATCATTAAACCTTAGCTAAGCATTTTCACTGTGTTTATTTGAGTCCTGTTAAATTTCACCTTCGGTACCTGGGTTAAATGATGACCAATATTTGATGATTTAATTGTGGTAGACAGGTCAGAGGTCATGCTAACATCTCATACTACACAGTTACTTAATTTTAAAACTTTTGATAACTTTAATGTCAGAAAAGTTTACGTATATTGAGAGTTTATTCACTTCACCGCAATATTAATCTGTATTAAAAACACGTATTAATTTATATATTTTTAAAAGTTTATATACTCGTGTGTGAGGAAGAGGGAAGGAATGCTTGTGTGTCGGTGCTGGAATGTGTGTGTGAGGATGTGTGTCGGGTAAGGCAGACGCGGTACCTCTCTGTTTACATAGTGTAACGACCGTGCTCAGGGTGCCAACAGTGGGTCGACCGTGCTCAGGTGGTCACAAGAGCCACACGAGCCACAACAGCATATGCCACAACCAACCCACGTTCCGGGAATGTTTATCAAGCATCATTCTATCCTAAGTAAGTTAAGGGGTCATCGCAGGGTTTCAGAGCTGTCGCGGTTATAGTGTTTCAGTGAAGTTAAAAAGCCGTTGTTGTGTAAAGTTTGAACCTCAGACCTTAAACACGTAAATAAATTCAGATGTGTGTGGATGGTACAAGTGTCTCGCCAACGCACATGATTTCTTTTCTTTTTCACAGACGGTTTTTAGATTCAGTGATTCAAGGTTTTTAACAGATTTTTTGGTTCATAGACAAACTATGCAAAAAAAATTCAAAATAGTACCGTGACACCATTAAATTCTTGATGTAACATTTTAAATTATACCAAATTCCATGAAAATAAAGGATAATTAGTTTTGGTGCATCAATGAAGACAACAGACTAAGAAACAGACCCAAGACAGTTAGACAGGTAGCACGCGTAATGCTTTATCAATCTAACATCTTCATCGTTTCTGCTGGAGGTTAACACATGTAGAATCAGTCTTTGGTAGATATTGTCATTATTGTTTTTATAAATCTCAGTTTTTTACTCAAGGGACAAAACAAAGTAAAATTTATTCTACGAGAAGTAAGATTTTTTTTTTTATTCTCCTCCTTGCCACCAAATTCCTATTCTTAGTTTTACAAAAGAATAAAAAGTATTTATACATTTTATACATCTGCTTCCTTATACACTGTACAGCATTAACAAAAACGTCCTTCACTTCTCTTTGGATTATTTTTTCATTACCTTCCTGCGATTTTCATACCATAGTTTTTATTCACACTTGTTAGGCTTTCCGTGGATCAGTGAAACCTTAATTTTTAGTTACATAAATTAAGTCATCAACTATGTCACGTACACACACTCCAAAAACTATCTTTATGGGAGGGAGCGATGAATGTCAAAATGAACACTACGACTCCTGTTGTCTAGACACGGTTGTCAAAATCCTTCGTCTGTCGTCATATTCTCTAACACAAAATCGCGTTTATTAACCAAATATTTTCTTCAATTAAGTTCAAAGACAGGTTTTTCTTTTTCTGTTTATAATCAAATTATTTATATTTCTTTAAAAAACACGTGGATTCAGAGTAAACAAGACACGGCCAGCTATTCCCTCAAGACACACCACTAATTTGACAAGGACGAGTGAAATGACACTCCGTATTATTTATTCAACATATAAACCAGAGTGAGAGTGAAAAGGCGGGAGAGACGGAGTGAGACGGACAGAACAGAGATGGAGACATACAACACACACACACACACAGCCTGGAGTTCCCGCTCAGCCAGCATTGTACGACTTATACCTGTGTGTGTGTGTGCGTGTTTGTCATGCGTTTTAGGGGTTAACCGGTCAGTTAAACCTTAAAACGTTCAATCAATTTCCTATTTTCCTTTACGACACCGTGACTAAAGGTGCCATAACAATCGCCAACCCGCGCTATGATCACCTGAATCATTTCCACAGGTAATTGGTGTGACAGTGAAGTAAACCAAAACCAGATTAAAAATGAAGGGATGCAAAATTAATTCGTAACAGCTGCATTTGTCATCGGGTTACGACCAGTCAGTCATATGTGTCGACCGAATTTTGATAGATATGATCAACATGTGACAGGGTTAGGTTAGATTATGTTAGGTTAGGTACAAATTACGTTAAAACTGTCCAAATATTGCCTGGTAAACAGAATTTTTCAAGGGGGTTACAGAAAACGATGAGTGGTGAGTACATTGGTTTACAGTAACAACGGCGCTAGTTCTTATACCCTGCCATGGTAACAGTACGTGGGCAGGGATTGTACTGGCTAGGATAATGTTTATTACAATCATTTTATTTGTATTACTTTCATTTACAGTAAAAGAGGATTATAGATACGTATTTTTTAGTAAAGTCTTCTATAATCATTTCCTTTCTCGTGTTCATACTACAATAATAACATTTAATCAACTATAATTTATTTCCAAGTTCTACTGACCTCTACAAGACCCGTGATGGCAAGTTGAACATATACACACACAAAAAGTTCTGTTATTTATTGTCCACTGGTCAAGAGACTGCAGTGAGTGTCTCTTAAACACAGGAACTTCAACACTCTCCTCTCCTTCACGCCAGAATTACGGGTCACAGGCAGAAATATCGCCACCATTCACGTCACCTTCATCTTTACTACACATCCTACCCAGCTTACACTTTTAGCCTCTACACGATTTCTGTTCTCTCTTTCCTAATTCTGTAATACACAATACTATACACAATGCATAAACTCCTGTATACATATGTAGTATGAATATAAATAAGAAGATGCTATTTACAGCTAGTATGGGGCTATTTAAGGGACCTGTGTGATTTTCAATGTTATTTACAGCTAGTATGGGGCTATTTACCCTGTAAATGACCTGTGTGATTTTCAATGTCATTTACAGCTAGTATGGGGCTATTCAAGGAACCTGTGTGATTCTCTGTCATTTACAGCTAGTATGGGGCTATTAACATTATCTTCCACTTAGATAACACCTTTATAGCCACCAAACCAATATTGTAGTAGCACTGTTGATA